AATCTAGCGATACCTTTCAATGAAGTTTTAGTAATAACACGAGCGCGTGTGCGTGTTCTCCGTAATCACTTCAAACGTTCCTCGTTAAACTTTAAAAGACATCAGCCTATAAATGACATGTGTTTCACAAAAATAGAGTAAAAAACTCAAAATATGTGATATCCAGAGGACATGGTTATCATAACTTGAAATACATAAAAATGATCGAAAGCTTTCGACAAGAAAAGTCGACGACAACCAATTCGTCCTCGGCGATGAACATATATACCTCTATGTGGAGAATGCTTCCTAAATCAGACACACATTCACTGACATAGTGAAACTCTGGATACCCTTACCATATTTCTAGTTGATCTAACTTTTCTTATGCTGAGAAATTGATTAACCTGTCAATTCCATGTGATAAGTCTTTGTCCTTCTACGGAAACACTGCCTACTTCGAAAAGTTTAAACGCCAGATTAAAACTTCGAATTTCGGACGTTGGCTTGATGCGAGTATCTGATTGGTCGAAATTCAAACCACTTTCTATATTTGGAGTAGAAACATTACACACTGGTTACCAGGTTGACCGCGCGTGTATGTTGCCATGATGAGGGGAGGGGTAGGGTGCTGGCCTGATAAGTATGTCACCCGTGCTTTATTAGTCCTCATTTGTCAGCACAAATTAGGATCATAACTTTTCATCAGTTTGCCGAGCAACAGCCCGCTGAATCCTCGTTTTCATTGGAAAACTCATACATTTTGGATTATTCCATCAGTTGTTTTAAGAAGACACCGCAGATCGCAGAATAATGGAGACTTTCATATATGGGCGTTTTCAAATGTGAATTCTTTTGACGCATCGCTGTGAAAAAGCCTTGTTTCTTTCGCTAAAAGACGGAGAATTGTGGGAAAGGTAATGTATACGAAAGTTCATAATTTAACGGAGGAGAGGGGGATGGGTGTGAAAATGGGAGGAAATAAAAGTCTTAAGAGCCCAGAAAAGGGAGTCTTGAGGTAACCGAGGGAATTTGGGACAACTAGGTAAAACTAAAACAAAACCAAAAAAACAACATCAACAACATTAATATAACGTCAAAAAATAATTTAAAAAAGTAAAATGACGGTGTGTCTTGGGGAATTTGTTTGAATGAGAGATAGGAGCAAGTGGCTGGTGGGATCACAGATTAAGTTATGATTATGCCGTTTATTTCCAGTCTTTAGTATCATCCACTGGATTGGACCGTCTAAATTTGACGAGTTCTGCAAACGGAAATTCGATAAATGCAGAATACTACACTGTGCTATGTTTGAAAATTTTCTATGCGTTCATCATTCTGCGGAGGTGGATGGTTACCATAATTGTCGAAACCTCTCCGTGATTTTCCGGTAGCTTGTCTTTTAAGATAAGAGCAACCTTGCTTTGCTGCAAGACCAATAATTACAAGTTCACGTCCATGTTTCATCTCTAGATCAAGTGCTTTATACACGAGTTGGCCAAAGGTATTCGATTTTTGTTTTTGTTTTAGCAGGAGGGGAGAGGGGGGAGACTGGATAATATTTATAAAACGCCTTCAATTTTGTTCAGAGCCCTGGATTCAATTAACTATCAATCAGCTCTGCGGAGAGTAGATTACACATTTTATCTTGCCCAAGTTAGGATCCTAACCCTGAGTGGTCTTTAGTGTCCACTACAGAAAAGGACATAAAACACACCTATCAAAAGACACCCCTATCAAACGCATCTAAATTTTGAACCTTCGCTGTTTTCAACCCGTTTTTATTTTCTCTTTTTCTTCTTAATCCTTGTTCATAACGAATATACTGAATACTATCTAAATGGCCCAGAAGGTGGGAGGGAAGGGGTTAGGCTTACTTTAAACTTGAAGCTCTCGACGGAGAGGGAATGAGAGCCCACATCTATCAGTGAATCAAGAGTCATTAAGTATTCTTCCATTCCGGTATTATTCAAAATATCCATCTTCGAAGAAAATTTTTAGAATCATCTGCCATGTAATTCTTCATTTGCATAATTTGACAAGTAGGAAAATACGTAAATATGATGTCTTCCATGAATTCCAACTAAAAAAATAAAAGGACTAGTATTCCATTTAGTGAGGCCAAGGGCATTTGTAGGGATGTGATGTTGGACCTTTATAGCATTCGTCGATCTCCTCACATCCGGGTGGCGCCCAGTTCTACAAGACAAAAGTGAAAAATAAGTTTCCGTCAAACTGCGTGTGTTCCGTAAAGGGAAATGGGTGTACTTTTGAAACCACTGTCACAAGGGAGTTCGAGTTTGACACACAAGTACATCTGTCCCGTAGTGTTGGCCCGCAATAATGAAAATGTAGGGATTTATATGGGTAAAAGGCGGTAAACGGTGGCGATGAGTGTCTAATATTCTAAAAGGAAAAAAATTGGCTCAGTCCACGTAAGGTTCAATTTGCCATCTGATTGGTTGATAGAATGGTACTTCTTAAGAGTAATCAAAAAGCAAAGTAAAGCCGTCAAAACAATGCATCACGAATTACTTTGAACCCTCAATTGAAAGTACTCTCAATGCGTAAACACACATACTGACGTACCATTACAGCTTCATCACAGAGGTTAAACTGAGGTTCGCCAGGCACTAAACTAGACTTGTGCACTGAAACCAGTTTTCTTATGGTTATCATGACATCCTTGTATTCCTGCTCAGTGGATCTGTTGATGGAATAATTGTTTTAATACATAAGTCACTTTTGCGCGAAAAAAAAAAAATCGAAGCGAATTTCGCCAACAAAAGCGGACTAGATGAAATGTATCAACCATTGCACTATCAGTTCAGCTTTGACAAGAATGAATTGAGTGTACCTGATGGGATATTTCTCCCCTGGGTCTCTTCCCAAATGAAACAGAACAGGAGAGGCTGTATAGTTCATTTGTTCATGAGTTGTAACACCTGTCACGTTCTCACCGGGACAGAAGTCGACCCCTTCCTGTAATACGAAGGAAAGAACCGACTGATATCAGAAGACAAATTTTAAGTCCATTAAGTGTCGTAAGACACAACGCAGTTTAATCACAACAGCTGACCAGTACAAGTAATCACCGGTACCATTAAGATCTCGAGGTAAAATCTCCCTAACGCACGGGAAAATGAGGGTGTAACGCGGTGGCCCAAGACAGAGACAAGTGAGGAAATATTTTAAGAAAGCCTCTGGAGGGAAAGCTCGTGAAAGATTTGCTCCCTGAAGACACCACCGATTGATGACGAAGATTAATGTAAAATGGTATATTTGCCAAATTTTTTTAATGTGGAGGAGGGCTAGATATAATCACTGTCTTCATTTAGAGTTGACATTTTTTTAAACAACGTTTATGGCAAACGCCAGTCAGGGTACCCCAACGCAAGTTATAAAATATCTCTAGATTAGAGATAAACTATCCAGAAAAGAGAAACTACCGACCATAAACTGCAAAATTATATAATTGACCTGGTATTTTTAACTAGTAAACGTTATTTCTGGCTGTTAGTTACCCTCCATTTTCATTATTTTACAAGACTGAGACAATTGTAACTGTTGTTTAGGTGAGGGAAATAATAAGGTGCATTGTTAGCGGCGTCTCTTTAATTCATTGAAAGTGACAAATGCAAAATTTATAAGGGTGAAAGGTAGGGTGCAAAGTTTGTTTCTCTTCAAGAGAGGTGCCTCCTGGAAATGGGACCCACAGACAGATTATATTGTACTGAAAAGAGGAAAAACAGGATCACACTGATCTTACATGGAATTCTTCCCAGCTATTAGACCAAGTCCAATAATGGGCCTTGTACAAGCCATATCTGATTGCCATCATCTCATTACCACGGTAGAAAAAAACAGGTCTGAGGACAAATACAAAAACACATGGTAATGTACGTGGGATACTTTCAGTTTTCTGGAAAATTGTCGCTACAGTTTAGAGAAATAAGTTAAAATTGTTCGTCAAAACAATTAAGAAAATATTAACATATTGTTATTGGGGATGTTGAAGCTTCGAAATGATCGGCACATAACCCTTTACACCTTGACATCAGTATGTATATTCCTTATAATGTTCTCTATAAATTTCTTAAGGTGCTGACGAGGAGAATTTGTCGAACAATCAAGAGCTTTTTTCCCTTGGTGATCATTCCCTTTCTTCTCGTGACCTTAAATGTTTTGTTTAGGGGTTATATTGTGGGGAGAAATTTGACACTAGTCACTCTTAGGGATTTGATAATTAAACATGTTTTAAATTACCTTGCTGTAACGCTCTGATTAAAAAGAACCTGGCTGAGATCAATTCCGTCGATCAATTTCTTAGCCTGAGACTTTGCTCCCGCTAGCGATAACGCTGTTGTAAACAGATCCATTAGTGTGCCCAGCTGGTGACTAACCTACACAAAGAAGTAGATCAGTTTTAACATTTCAGCAACAATCTGGTAATAAAGGAAAAGCTTAATTCCTTTTTCCACGAGAGTGGGACGAAGAAACAACTCTGAGTTCCCATTTGGAATCGAGCTTCAGACCTTCGGGTTCGCAGTCCGACGCTCTTCCACTGAACAACAGAGACTCTACGGTGTGCGGGGTCATCCCTATGTTCACACCAGAGAAAATAATCTTTTGGTTCATATATGACTCGCGTCCCGTGGGCTTAGATTATCTATTTCAAAGCCCTGCTTGAGTTGGAAGAATAAGAAAAATGGGCCTTTTTTTAAGCTCGCTCATACGATGTAAAAATATTTCCTAGTAAGCAAAACGACTCGAGTATAAAGTTCCTTTCAGATGTCGAACTATTTATGTACCAAATTCGATTGAAATATGTTACAGGTTGTCATAAACTAAAACAGGAATGGACCCACTTCCATTAAATACATGAAGAAATTCCAAACCTGGCCTGCTTCTATCTTGCCTGGCCACCAGGCTATGGACGGTTCTCTCATTCCACCCTCGAACGTTGTCTCCTTGCCACAAAGAAACGGACCGTTGCTGCCACCTGAGAAAGACAAATTATTTGATACTTTGAACCAAACTTTACGCTTTATTTGAGCTACGAACGTCTTCTACCGCGGCCAGAATCATCCACACGTGCCCTGATTGCATTAGTATTTAAGCTGAGCGGGAGAGCAGTCAATTGTAAGACTTATTACCTAGAGGGAAAAATTACTAAATGCTGATTGGCTGAGACAGAGGGTATTTTTCATTAATTTGGTAATTTCTCCGGCCAAAATAACTTGAAATTAAAAACATAAAGATGGCTTAACTTTGCCTGAAAGTATTATCATTTCATTGAAAGTTTTACAGCAGGCCTGGTTTCATTGTTTTGGGCGTTGTTGTACAAAAATAAAGTTTCATTCAGCTGATTCGTGCGTCTTTCAGTTTATTATTGACGCTAACTGAGCACTGAAATGAATTCCTACGAAATTGCGCAACAGCGTGCGTTTTTGACCTTCGTCGAAAGCACAAGTGTTATGACCTTATTTGATACTTAGAATAAAAAAAAAAAAAGATGTATGTCCTCACTACCTCGATCTTTTGAGTACATAGCAGCTCCATTATCAGATGAAAAGAACACAAATGTATTTTTAGATATTCCTAAATCTTCCAGTTTGCGTAGAATCCTTCCGACACTGTCGTCCAGTTCTCGTACAGCATCTCCATACCTGATGGAATATAACCAAAATCAAACTAATTTAAAGTGACATTCAAAGCTGGTTGGCGTAGAGCTTGTTCACTTTTTTCAAGCCGTCTCACGATATGATTCCGAAAGAACAATTTCGACTTTGCTCACTCTTCCTGGAACCTTGATACGTAAAGCAAGGTAAATCTCAACCCTCCTCTTTCCCCTCCACCGGGATTTGAGGGGCGTTAGCAAGGAATTAAAACGTTATTCGCAGATCTTTATGTCCCGAATATGTGGGAAATTCTCGCGTTTTTGTCGCCTATATGTGGGAATGTAGCACTTTGGTCAAGATTCGACGGAATATACACTAGCTAATGCAGAAACAGCTACTGTAACAATTTTATTATAAATTATTCTACTAACAGTCCTCTTTGGCTATTTCCAAGGAATTTTGACGAGGCATACACTGGACCATGGGTAGCATCTGGGGCCCAATACAAGAAAAATGGCCTCTTAACTTTAGATTGTAATTCAATAAAATCAAGGGCTTCCTGGAAGAAAAAAAAAAAAGAAAAAAAAAGAAAAACGAGTGAAATATGTGTTGGTTTTGTAACTTGTTGAATTCACCCCTCAAAAATATTCCGATTTTACTTAACCAGTTTCCAGACTTGAATCTTTGGTTAAAGTGTACACTGCATGGGCAAAATAAACATCATTTTCACTGTCTCCAAACATTTTGACCCAATTTCTTAAACCTTGAATCACAAATTTTCAATTTCACTTAGAGTATGGAGTTATTGGAATCTGCTAGCTTAATAACAGTAAATTAAAGAATGAAAATGTCCTTCTATTACTTGTTGATTCAGTATTTAATGGTAAACAGGCACAGTTTTATAAGTTAGACTTCTTTGCTTCTCATACCTCAGTGTATATTTGAGTTAAGTTGGATTCTCCAGTCTTTCTGTTAATGGGAAATTGCTGATAATACCTGAAAGAGAGAAGAAAAATATCAGGCATTTTGAAGTACACTTTTCAGACATCGCCATCACACAAAAGGATTAATCTTAAGGATCACTAATTCTTATTTGTTCTTTAATTCAAGCCAAGCTATTATTTTAAAACTGAACAAATTCATCTTTTAGCATTTCTTCCAAGTAATGATTTTAAATTAAAACAAATTATCCAAATAATATTCATGACAGCCTCAAAGTACTTAAGGGAAGTTGGGAGGAAAAGGATCCAGTTTGGAAGAAGGTTTCTGATCAGTTGTTCATTGACAAGCTCCTTTAGTTAAGAATCATTACAAAAATGGGACATACTGTAAGTACAACTGAATTGAAAAGCACCTAATAGAACTTTACAGACAAGTCAATTCAGAAAAAAAAAAAACTACTAAGTACTTGACATCAGAGTGCTTACACTGGATTGGCTGACTAACCTGCCAACCATTTTGCCATCCTTGTATACTGGAATGTTTGGAGTTTTTTTATTGTCATATGGACCAAAATGACAATTTGGAGCACCAAACCATTCATCAAATCCATGCTTTAGTGGCAAGTACTGTGGCTGTTGGCCAAGGTGCCTTTCAAGATGAGATACAAGAAAAAGTAAATAATTGCTATAAAACACGAGTAAATGTAAGATTTTGTACCAATTTTTGTATCCACTTTTTCAATTATTTTCATCCAAAAGCAACTCACCATTTGCCCACTATTTTACTGTAGTATCCTTCTGATTTAAGTAACTCAGGTAACAGATCTTCATTATCTTGTATTCCACCAACAATGTTCTGTGGTGTATACCCTTTAAAACAAATTCAAACAGAAGCTTTGTGAGTAGAAAATCAATAAAAAATTAAAATTATTCTAAAGTAAAAATTGCTTTCTAATGTAAACATTTAATCAAGAATCATTCTGTGATATATTCATCAAACAAATCAATTGTCAATCTTATTTGATCTGTCACACAACCATCCAAATTGAAGCTCACTAGTAATAGATATTCAAGGAAAATGGATAATTTATCCTTTAACAGTCAACCATCAATAGAAAGAGTGATGGAGATCACTGGTCAGGATTACATGGATGCATTCAATAATCTCTTTCAGTATTCATAATTTACTTCCATTAACCCTAAATAACTCACAGAAATGATTAACATGCAACTTCTCCCACTAATATTCATACTTTTTCCAGCAAACAGATAATGAGAATACACAAAATTTATCAGGTAATGTTGCTGTCTTGATATAACAGCAAATTCTTGTGATTAATTTACAAGGAAATGTGAAACAGCCAGAAAGGAGAATCCAAAATCAGATCTTAGGATAGTTAACACTAACAGAAATCCATTTCAAACAAGTTTTGGATTCTCAGGCCACCATGACACTTACCATTTCGAGCATGAGCATTAGTTGTATAGAATCCATTTCGAATAGGAAGTCGTCCAGTGAGTAATGCAGCACGAGCTGTTTTTGTAAATAGAAAAGGGAAATTTCTTGATATAAAACAGTACTGAAAGTAACATTTAAAGTGTGAAGTGAAAAAACTTGTGATTTTCATCAAAATGTGTAAAAAGAATGCTGTTCCTGAAAGTCACATGTGAAACCCATCTGCAGTCAATTAAATTAAAAAAAAAAGGCTGACAAATTACTCAATGAATGTGACTCAGTGAGACTTGATGGTTTCATGCCATCCTTTGATATTGTCATGGCCATTATTGGAAGCTACAAAGAGCTTGGCATAGCTTAAAATGAATCAAAATTTAATGTAAACAAGAAATATATCTTCCAAGCTAGATACAGGGTAAAAGACATATGAAAATACTTGTAACATAGAGCACTGTAAACTGGGCCTCCCTTTATGTACACAAATATAAAAGTGATTGAAAGTTGATTGTTAAGTGTGATTGTCTGTATATAGGTAATCTAGACCATGACCATGACCATGACCATGACCAAGACCAAATGTTTCAACAACAAGAGTTGATCATTTTAAACAATCAGTGGTAAAATGCACTTTCAGTCAAATCAACAAAAAAAAGAATGTTTCACTCACAAGGAGAACAAAGAGGATTTGCACTATAGAAATCTGTAAAGAGCATTCCATCAGCAGCCATCTTATCAAGGTTTGGTGTCTCTTTTGCTGGCTGACCAAGTACACCTAAGTCACCCCAACCCATCTGTAATACACAGAGAATAAAATGAACAAAAATAAGATTTTTTTCCAATATGAATATTAACTATTCAGTTGATAAACTACATGAAAAAATTATGCCTATCTGATTGGCTTATTTTTTTGGTAACATGAGTGCTAGGCTGAAACTTGAGTACTAAGGTCCACTATGAGCAAGCAAGAAATAAGCAAGAAATAAAAATCAGGAAATAAAAGAAATGAAAATAAGCAAGAAATAAAAAAACTGCATGTGTGCAGTTCTTTAAAAATATTTACTTGTGCTTATTAGCACCAAATCGCACTCAAAATCAGGTTATTATCCATACAACTATGATGACTGAAAGTGAAACTAATTGAAGTTGCATGCAGAAATGGGAAACAGAGGACAGAATACCACTGGTCAGTACTATTCTTCAAAGCTGCCATTGTAGTTAGGTCTATTTCATGATGAACATAGCTGATATCTCCTTAATTGTAAGTTACCACATGGAATGATTAGACTGTTGTGATGTTCATGTATTTTTATGATTTGAAAAAATAGGTTATTTCCACAGAACAGAACAGAACAAAACAAAAATCAAAATAAAAACCAAAACAAGCTAAAAAGTTGAGAAAGGGTCTGGGACAGAGGTTAGATGTCACTCCAAAAGATGCAGTCAGGGCTCCAGGTTCAACTTTTCAAAAAGTCGCTTTTTGGCGACCCACAAGAGTAAAATAATCGCCATTAAAAAAAAAAAATTTTAAAAAAATCGCCCTCCCTTCCCCGCTTATATATATGGGGACATTTCATGTTCCATTACATGATAGCGCGAGTGAGGCGAATGATGCCAACGCATCTTAACAGTCACTGGAACAAGACGTTATAATCGTTATATTTTTTTCTAGAGAATCCTAACCTCGGCTCTTTAAAGATCGTCACTACCTTTGAATTTTCGAAATCACTGACCAATTAAAGAACGACAAAATCATCTTCTTTGAGAGTTATGCAAGAAGCGCAAACAGAAGATAATTACAGATAAGACAAGTAAGTTGTCTCATCTAAATCTACCGGGCGATTAAACTTTAAAATTATTCCATTCACGTCTCGTGTCTGTTGATTCATCTATCAAATTTTAGAGCCCGTTAAATACTTTTTTCTGCGGTTTGTGTCGGTGTCATTTCCTTTTTTCCGGCACTTCTCGTAATTTTACATAATTTTACTAGGTATAACTTAGAAATCGTCGTTGTTTTTTCTCCTTGTTGGCGGAATATTTCTTCTTATTTAAGACAGTACACCTTGTTTGAGCACCTCCTAAGGGGTTGCATTGCATTCTGAACGGATTTATCACAAAACCAAGCGACCCAACGATGGAATTGTTTGCGATGAGTTCGTCTTAAACGATGAAAGAAAAAAATGAACTCAAACTAGTCATCAAGGCTAGTTTGGCTTGGGAATTAGACTTCGTGCCTGTTTTTTTGTTGTTGTTGCTGTTGTTGTTTTTTTCTTTCTTTGTCACGAATAAAGTCGTTCAAGACTGGATTAAAATAATTGATTTAGAGAGCTGTATCGAAACAGAAATGATTGTTATATTCTTTTGTGGCGTGAGAATGACTTTTTTGTCTTAGTTTTGATGGGCGCTGATTTAAATTAAGACATTACTAGTGCAAACCAGAATAATTCTCAAATTGAGAATCTGAAGTCAATCTTACTTCAATTCGTAGAGATTATTCATCACGGCAAACACGACAATGACAACAAATAGCACAATAAGACAGTGGGTAAGCTTTGTGATATTTCATTTCGATTGAGTGGCTAAACCCTCGACATGGAGGAAGTTTATTAATGAATTAATTCACGATAAAATTCAACAGCATCCCATTCTTAGAGTTTTCATATAAAGAAATGTATTTAAGAAAAGTGCTCAAATTGTCTAAAGCCTGGCTTAATTAAAAACGAACTGAGTCATGCCAACGATTGTTCCCATTTCCTTTAGGGAATCCAGCAAAAATGTAGCGGTAAATTTTCGCCGAATAATACAAAGGAAGGTACCTAATTCTCCTGGAAATGAGTTTGGAAATAACTCCGAACATTATTATTTCGTTTACAAGTGCACAAATCCCTTCTGCACTATTCTACGCGCTCTCCCGTTCTGAAATTACGTACCCGTCCTCTTGCTAAATCACCCTAATAACTATTATTTACCAACCTGGTACGTTTACTCTCTTGCTGATTAAAAGATTGCAATAACGGTCAAGAGAGAGATAACGAAGAAACTCTAATGTCAGGAAGCAGAACCGATTTGCTACAAAGTTGCCGAGCCCAGGGACAAATCATGTTTCATAACATTTCTATTGCTTAGCTGAGAAACATGTCTTAATTGAAGTGAGCTGAAATATTGGTATTAAAGATTTCCATAACATCTTGAATCACTTGATATTTAATCACCATACTTTTTCCTTCAAAGTTGAAGGTAAGAATGAAATGTGGCGGTAAGTACTAAAACAAGGAACGACCTAAAACCACCTAAAACCACCTACAACCATCTACAACCACTTCAAAAATTTCAACAACCACCTACAACCACCTCAAAAACATCTACAACCACTCGCAAACTATCTAAAACCATCTAAAACAAGGCATAAATGTCTAAAATAAGGCGAAACGACAACATGTCACGTACACGAAATACGAGAATCGAACGAAACCTCTACCTCCCCCTGAAATCTTACTCTCCCTGGTCCCATGTATAATCAACCATCTCACGAAATGAAATGCGATAGCATGCTAATTATTTTATTTAGGTGGTTTTAGGTCGTTCCTTGTTTTAGTACTTACGGAAATGTGGCACGTATTTATCTTCGTATATATATTCGAACAAGGATCGATAAACTTCTCACGTTTATCTTTTTTTTTTTTACTCTGATGGTAGCCAATTTGCAACTTTTGCTGGAATTTTGGTTGCCAATCAGCGACTTTTGTCGAAATTTTAGTCGCCAAATATATTTTTCACGCGCCATGGCGACCAAAAGAAATGTTAGAATGAAGGTCAGTTCAAGTCAGGGTTAGTATAAAGGATCATTCTATAATTCCCCGAGGCCTGAGGTGCCCCATGTACTCTCGCAGAAACCTGTTAAACCCCCTTCGTACAATAGGGACCTTGGGCAAACCACATAGGGGGCGGCAATGAGGACGAGGCAAAACAAAAGATCTAATGGGCAGAACAATAGGTTAACACGTTCATTTTAAAACGTTGTAAATTCCTTGGCCGTCCTCTGCAAAACTACAAAGTGAAATCACCAAGATTTGTGTCGTCTGCGAACAGAAATCGCAACGGCAAATTATTTCAGTTTCCGGTTAGAAGTCAACGCTGCTTATATACGTTATACTGAGGTTGAGGTGTGAAGGCGTAGGAGACGGTAACCCTATGCAGCCATTTTCTAAATGCTAACTGAAAATAGTGATTCATTTTTTAATTCTAATCGACGTCTTCCATAGCATTGCCGTTCTTACAACTTAAGGTCCCTAAACCTACTCTACCAAGTTCATTGAAAAGATGCAAGGTTTGGCGATGCAAGAAAATGAAGCATAACCAGCCAAATAAACTGACACTGTAAACTCTGAGAGACGACAAAGTATTTCTACAACACTTGAGTAACTTACGTCATCCATGAGCATAATAACAATGTTCGGCTTTGTTTCGCTTCTGACAAAATGAGCTGCACTCAAGCATAGCAAAGAGGCTGCCGCCCATATAAACTTTAACACAGAAGAATTCATCCTCTGACTTATGTAATCATCTACTACTCTTCCGTGCAGCCTTAGCTGTTATGCTTTGCCTGCACAGATTACACTTGGATCACATGAGCTTCTACTCGCAGTCCGGCTGTGTACAGCCTGGGCTCTATATGTGGGCGATCTTTCATCGAATTTTCGTGGAAGGTCAAGAATTTCTATCGGGGACTGTCGATGGTCTTTCGGCCTTTGTCGAGTGAAATATTGAGCCCCTAATCATTACTATCTGCGGTTGATGTCTTGTTGGTACAGTATATGACCCCATACATGACAACATACTAATACAAGATGGCGGTCTGTGTCGCTGTCATAGGGAAAGAGGTAAACACTTCATTTTTCGCGTTTAGAAACGATTTTGAGCTTATTTCACAGATACTTTTTTGTTCATTGAATATTTCAGAATTATCCACTGTATCTTCGGACCGTCTCTCCGGAAGAGGAGTTGAAATTTCACTACACAGTTCATACCTCGTTAGATGTTGTCGAAGAAAAAGGTGGATGATTTTAGAAGGATAACTGTATATTTTAAGACATCTCTAGGACGTACAAAATAAAATATGCCTGATTATAAGAAAGTGTAAGGGTTAGGGTTAGGGTTAGGGTTTAATAAGTATAAGTTAGCCATTATCTGTTATGGAATTTTTTTTATATCCGTTTGCATTTGTTTTTTTTTTCTCTCATGCGCACTTAATACCAGTATTTCAAAAATTCTTGGAAATTTTGTGATCTCTTTCGTGGAAATAGGTTATTTTCTTGCCCATAATTATTCTGCACCGTCAAGTCCTACCGCAAGTTTCAGATTATGTTTTGCTTGTTATTGTGTTTTAAGCTCATTTTTTTAACAACTCTATTTCATTGTTCAGTTCCTTGCTATGTCCTTCTAAATTTGGGTCATTCATCATTCATGACTAATCTTGGGTAGCCTCAGAAACCTTTCTCAAAGGTGATATGTATTTGATATATTGCATTCTTAGTGTCATCCCTGACTAAAAGTTCCAATGATCCTCGAGAACTCTACCTTGGTTTATTATATCCCACTGAAGACTATAAAGTGTATCCTTTTAAACTTTGTCACATGTATATGGTTCAGATCTGTTGTAGAAATGTGGAAAAAGGTAATTTTTTTTCATTATAGCCATGTAGGAAACCTAATTCCAAAAACAAATTGTGCTACTTTGAAACAAGAATATTCCATTGCCTTGGGTCAAAAGTATTTTTGCTTCCAGGACACAAATTTCCCTTTTGGAACATGTTTCCCAATTTAGCCACAATGTTACTGCTCCAATTCTGTTTTAGCTTGGCCATGCTTCTCATTTTTATTTATCTTATTGTATTTGTTACAGAGTTTGACCATTTTGTAGTTTTTGTCTGTAGATCTCTGCATGAAGTTTTTAAAAAAGTGTGCTAGCTTGTGTAGCAGATTTCCAGTTTACTGGATATAGGTGGCTACTTCCACATATATTTTATTGAACAATCTTTGACTAAGGTTACAGGTATGGGTATGTTACAAACTCCAAAATCAAGTTTGTAATTGTAGTTGAGTCAGCAAACACTGCATTAAGAGACAATGAGATAAGAACGGTAAGCTGTTATACCTGTTGCAAATTGATGTGTATTTCCTTATTTACTCTGTACCATGTTTCTATCTGATTCTTACTTTAGTTTACTATTAAATTTATAAATGTAAATTTATAAATGTAAATTTATAAATTTACAGCAATTTTTAACTTTTTAATTTTACAAGCTTGTTCAGTTATATCTTAATTAAGATTTTTCACCATGGTTTACTATTAAATTTACAAATGTTACAGCATTGTATGATTTTTTTTTTCACACCATTTTTTAACCTAAGCCCTGTTACTTGAAAGTCCTCATTACTTAACTACCAGCAGAAATGTTTTAAAATATAATTCTAAGGAATAATAAATGCAGGTCTAAATTAGCTGAAAAACCAACTCATTCTTATATGTTTCCCCTAACATCAGTTTGAATTTCAGAAATGTTTTGTTACTTGACCTTAAACAAAACACAACAAAACAAAAATTAACTTAATAAGCTTGAGAAACCAACCCTAGGTATCTTTACTTTATCCCTGAGATCACACCTAGCTCCTTGATCACATTTGTAGTTTGGTTCACACATTCATTACACTGAAGCATTATCAAGCTTTGCATCAGTACCTAAGCCAAGAACTGGTAAAAACCCAAACATTCAGTGTGGTAAATTGTAGTTATTTATTTGTTTGGGAAATGAACGTGTGCTCTCAAGGTTCCATGAAACCATATCGATTGTAACGCCTTGCACTCTTGATGATGGCATCAAGAGGCAGAAAGAATCAAGCAATCTCTTCCATTATTTTTCTTAAGTCTTTGTAAATCTCTTGATTTTTTTTCTTTTTTCATAACTATTTTCGCCAGATGTTTCGCAAACTTCATGTGGCTTATACAGATATGTTCTGCAATCCTTTTTACAACCCAGGAGAAAATATAACATCAAGGTAAGCCTAAATGAGCCACAGCCTTTAACTTCAAGGAAGCAGCTATATTCAAATGTATCTTACACTCAGTCTGCCATAGTTGAGAATTTTACTTTTAAGTTTTAAAAGGAATCTGAAGACAGCTCACAACACTTTGTAACAAGGGTTACACTTCTATACACTTATTTGGAGGTTATCAAAGTACATGCAGTTTTGTCAGTTGATTACTTCAATCATATCTCTTAACCTATCACTTTATCTCCAGGCGTTTTGAGGAGGCAATTGTAAAAATGATGAAAGAAGATTAATCAACAGAATCAGTTGCAGTACTTGGCAATTACATTACTTTAGCTGTGTAGCTGTTTGTGAATGCTTTCAGGCAGGTTATGGCATTGGAAAGTATGGTACTATTGAGAACAAATTGACTCATTGGAAAAATCATGATGGATATCACAGACAGCCACATTGACCAGGCATCACTAAATGCAATCTTGTTGATTTTCAAATTTATATTGTAATGTAGATTTTGTAACACAGACCAGAAGAAACTCAAAGAAACAGGCCTGCTAAGCAAAAGTTGAACATGTGGAGAGGCCACCACAAACTTAAGGAATGGTCTATGAAAATACATTGTATTTTATAGAAAACAAAGACATTTTCCAGTCGCTATAAATGCAAAATGCATGAGGAAAACAGGTAGAAACCCTTGTGAGTAGGTCAAAGCACACAGATGTCTACAATCTGGAAGGATCAAGCAAGCAATTTCTTTAAAAAACAGTGCCCCACACTTGGTTTTAGAGGTGTGAGCCTGTTACACCCTAACATCAGAATCCACTTTCTCCATAATCTTCTGCATAAATTTCCACTAGTACTTACAAGGAGAATTTGTTTAACAATCAAATCTTTTCCTCATGATCTTAATGAAGCATTCAGCTGTATAACATTAAGGAAAAATTTCAAGCTGGTCACTTAGGATCTGAAGGGTTCATGCAGCATTATTCTAGACTGACCGTGCCTCTCTCTAAACAAAAGTATAACTACAGAATGGTCAGAAAAAAATTGACCAATTGTTAGTAGATTATATGCGCTGGAATGAAAACCCACCCTGGCTTGGCAGCATTAAATATCATAATCAATAACACCAACAGACACTGCAGGTACATTTTTACAAATTTTTTTTTTATTTTTTTGTCATAAGGCTGAATGCTGGTCCAATACATTTACTAATCATAACAACATAAAAAAGTGTCTATCTGTATTTTTTTCACTCTCTCTCTCTCTAGTTACTCAGCTGTTCACTGTTTCCTTGATTCTTCTTTTCTCAGTCTTAAACAACTCATTGTCTTTTTTTTTTTCTACCTCAAGTAAAGTTTTGTTTTTTCTTTAATGTTCTCAAAAACTTTTTTCCTTTCCTATATTTCAACTTTTTTTTTTTACACCACAGTCTGTCTTAATTGAAAGAGCTTTCCAAGTCACTATACCTACTCTGGAATATATCCATTAGGTAAGAAGGCTGAGCAAGGCTCTCATTTTAACCAAATAGAGTGGTCCCTTGAGAATTGCCAAGAAACCTGTGAAGACAAAAATACCTGAACTTTGTCAAAATATGCAAAAACAGAGCAATTCAAAGCATATAAAAACAGACACTTAAAATATAATGTGGGAATGAGTGTTGTCTTTGGACAGTTGTTAATACGGAGAATACCAGTATGCCCTTCCACGGCCCCTATAAAAGGAAAAAAAAAATTATGTCTCTGAGAAAAAAGAATATTTTCATAAACTAGCTTTAAGCTACATGTGATATACCTGTCCAAATGAAGTTCCTACTTAGGCAAGACAATCACACCAAGGTTTAAATAAAGCCAGCATTTAAATACTCTAAGATGGCTTTAAACTTACAATGACACAGTCTCACTTATCACCATGCATTCACTATACTTTTCTATTTACTAGGCTTTCTTAGAACTTGGTGTTAATTTCTAAGCAGTAATCCCTGTCATTGCCAGGAGTTCTTTAACACTGATCACTATTGGAATTGAATGGGTTGCACCAGCACCAAAGTGAAAACATCACTGACCTAAACATAGCTCTACCCCTTGGTCTGGGCATGAAATTTGCATAAGGGTTGTACAGTCCTCCTCTGAAGCCACGCCCTCTTCCCCTTCCCCTTGATGATCCTCTGTCTGTTGTGCTGATACCAGGGCGATTTGTTCTTTTAGGATTTACCTTGTACAACAAAATGACAAGAATTTTTAACAAATTAACACTTCAGCAAAATCAAACTATCCAGCTAAGCAAGGGTGTACTTATAAATCTGGTGGTATCTGGAAAATGTACCTTGATCTGTCTTCCTTTGAACAAGGAGTCATCCATGGTTACTGCATTTTCAACACTTTCCTTGTCAGCAAATTCAATATATGCAAACCTAGCAGCAAGTTATACAACTGTTAGTACTCAGAGATCCTTTGGTTAGAACACTGACCGAAACTTAAGCTCAAATCCTGGCCCTATTGTTAAGCTGTCTTCTTGAGCAAAAAACCTTACTCTCTGTTCTGCTCTACACAAAAACTACGAATGCGAAAAGTTAAGAAACTAGCAAAATTGCTTGCAGGAGGGGTGGTTACCTTTAACAGACTTCCCTCCCCAGAGAGTTGTATTAATACTTATGTAATGCTTCCAAATGCAAGGTAATCTCTTACACCTATGTACATTAGTCTTATTAACAAGCTTAACAATATTTGAACACAAAGTTCAAAACACACTTTCACAAAGACATCACAAACCCTTTAGGGTGTCCAGTAAATTTGTCACAAAGAATCGTGACTCTGTTAACAGAGCCACATCCATGAAAATGCTGCTCTAATTCCTCAGCTGTTGCAGAATAATCAACCTAAAAAAGCATAAAAGAAGTTGATGTGAGAAAATTTAAATTTTTTATGGTATAGAACTGGTGCATTGATGAAAGGTAACAAACACAAGCAAATCTGAAGGTCCTGGTAAACTTCTCACACTTCATTGCTAGTTTCAGTAAACTTACAAGGCAATAACTGATGGTAACAGATGTTTTGTTACATATTGGTGACTAACATGGGAAAATTGAATTAAATTTACGCCATATGAGGTTTCTGCTAGGGCTAATACATGGTTAAAAAATTCTTTCTAATTTCTACATTATTATAATTTTACTTACATTCCCCACATAAACTGATCTTGCGTCAATTTCACCTTTTTCTTCAATTGTTTTTGGGACTTCAAAAAAAGAGACAACCATTAATTAAAGAAGGAAAGAGGACACAAAAAGCAGATAAGGAAAATGCAGTATGAATGCAGCTGAGTAGGACCCATAACACTGAGTTAGAGAAATATCAGCTCAAAATTAACCATCTTTCCAATTCTAATTGGACTTAAAAGGTTCCGCTCATTGTAGCAGAGAACTCTTACTTGATAACAATCTTCAAGGACACTATGAACAACCTTTAAAGTTCTTCCAATTAAACATTCATACCCACTCATACCTGTTTTAAGAAAGTGGGGGGAGGGAGGAGGGAAACTAAAATCTAACTGAATCTTACATGTTGATTGTCCAACTGTGGGACTCATTATGGATTCTTCAACTTGTTTCTGCATCTCTTTTAACTTTTCTGCTTCTTCTTCCATTTCTTTAACTCTTGCTTTAATGGCTTCAAGTTCCTTCAATGTACCACCACAGATAATTTGTAAAATAACTCGAGGAACTAAAACTACCCAGTATATATTCTAAAACAGTTAACAAAGCTTACAAAGAGAGATGTTGGTTTCATTAGTCCATTAAATATTTTTGCTTGAGGGTGATTGGTGTAAACACTTCACAAGACTGAATGTGCCCAAGCTAAATCTTTTCTAAACAAAAATACTCCCTGAATGATATTCCCTAAATGTTCCTAAAATCAAAGCTTACAGTTTTCCTTGAGATTTGCTCTCTGAAAACTATTTCCTTTTCCTCTCTTCAAACTGATGTGGTCCTAGGAAATTCTTAAAGCTATATTTGCAGCAAACACAAGAGATTGTTAACGCGTGAGGTTGGACCTCAGGTCAAGTGCACACTAAAAAACGACAAACTGAAGTAACAAATAAATTCGTCTTAAAGGTAATTTAGAGCTCTTCTTGGGCTAAGTGGGTAAGTTTCTCTAAAACTTGAATAGACAATAAAATTACATAGCTCAGTTTGTTACCGATGGACACTGTCGACTCACAAGTAACAAAGAAAACAACGCTCAGAAGTTATAACCAAAAAATGGCGGCGACCCTTTAAGCTCATTGAATAGAAGATATCGTAAGCAACACCATGCTATGCAAACTTCAAGGTTACCGGATCTTCCAATGAGTCGTCTACTGTAGGATCCACTCCAGAAATATCTCCTAAAACAGCATCGTCGTCTTTTGATGTATGAAGAGCTGCGTCAAGCAAGCTATCTTGCGCACTTTCGTCTAAATCCGCCATTTTCTCGAGAAAATACCTAGCTAAACAGCAATAGAGTTTCTTTGAGACCTGAAATGCAGTGTTTCGAATACTAGAGACGATGACGAAGTGCCGATGCAGATTGATTGCACCGTCTCCTCAAGGTTTGAAATATTACGTTCTAAAAGTCAAGATGGCGATCAGGGCTTCGTCACATGACTATACAGTGGTTGCCGGTTCATATATGACACCGTATAGTTTCTACTTGAAAGAAGTCAGCGGGAAGCTACATTGTATTTTATCATGAAGTATGTTCCTGGTCGTGGCTGATAAGAAGTTGAAAGATTTCCTTGAATTTTCCAACTATCCATTGTAGACGCCTCTCTTTCTTACTACCCCGTTCGTTTATCCACCATCGAGTGCTTTGAGAGTTTCGCATGACACAAGAAGGAGTTGAAAAACAAAGAAAGAGGAGCTGGTTGTCTGTGGCGCGCTAAAATCATGTTTGTAGCTCGTGAAATTCCCGCAGAACACAAAGATTTGATTCACGATGTTTCGTACGATTACCACGGAAGAAGAATGGCTACTTGTTCCAGTGATCAAAGTGTTAAGGTCAGAATCTGATAATTTACCATTAAAAACAACTTTTACTTCTTTAAGTTTGCCTTGACCATAGGATTTTTGCATTATGCAAGTCTTAATCGACCTAAATGTACATAAACTTGAGATTAATGAGGAAATCATAGACGTGGATTCATATTTATTAAATAATACAATGCAGTAAATTGCTCATGTACAAAGGTTGTTGCTTTATGTTGTGAATTCTCTGTTTAGTTGGGTACAAATATATAGACTATTTTAAAAATGGACTGATTAGTTTTGGAGACTGGTATTGAACTTCAATAATTGGACTTGAGATCACAAGGTCAAGGTTCAAGTCTTGACCAGACTCATTGAGGTTTTAACAGGGTTAATTAAGTATTATTAACTGAGGTGATAACATAAATTGGCCACCGCAAAGAGTTTAAAGTTGACGTTTTGAGCAACTATTTTATTCTTGTTTTCCTGTCACCATATTTGTACCAATAGCTTAGTTCCATTTTCTGCCTATAAACACACACACAACCCACAATTCCTCCATTTTTTCTAACAAAGGGCTAATGCATAAAATGTCAGCTTTAAAACTCTTTACGGTGGCCAATTTATGTTGTCAACTCAGTTGATAATACTTGATTACCCTGTTATACTCTCCCATCAATACAGTACTACAATTTCTTTAGAAACCTATCTCCTTTATTCATTGACATTTAGTCTAGTGTGAGATCTTTAAACTTCACTGTTGCCTGGTTAGCTCAGGTTGTAGAGTGCGGGACTGCTGTGTCGCCCTCTATTATGACATCTTCAAATAGTTAGACTTTGAAGCCTTGTGAAATAAGGGCAATAAACTATAAGCCCTTTCTTGTGTGTCTTCTTTATACTGGTGAGCAAGGGTTGAGTTGACCATTTGGGATGTTTATCATGTGATATATGATATACCAGTAATATTACTAATATCACCTTAAACAGGTTTGGGATCTTGGAGAGGATGGTCAGTGGCATTGTACGGCAAGTTGGAAGGTACAGAACAATATATTCTAAAATAATATGATAACTTCTTGATGCAACAAGGTATTTGGTTTTTTTTTTTTGAGTACCTATAAGCAATCAAACTTGAGGCCCAGGGATTGAAAGCTTCCATGCCCTATCCCCAAGGAACAGAGAAGTATTTCAGAAAAAGATATTCTATCAACTCCCAAGATGCTTGCATCATTGCTGATCACAGCATGCAATTCTGTGTAGTGCAGCTTAGTTATAGAGCATCTGATCCATGAGATCTGAGTTTTGATACCACATTAGAGTTTTCTTTTGTTCAACTTTCGTGATGAGACCTAAAAAATGATATCTCTATATTTTTTGACCAAGCAAAGAACAAAATTTACTTTGTCCATAGCTTACATGAACACCTTAGACCTGTTTTTCAGCCTCTTACTCCTGTCAGATTTTCCTTCTACCTTCCCTGTCTTCATGGAAAGTTATTAAAAGTTTTCATTTCACAGACCCACTCTGGCTCAGTATGGAAAGTAACTTGGGCACATCCAGAATTTGGCCAGGTGCTGGCATCATGTTCCTTTGACAGGACTGCTG